GATATATACGGTAATTCATTAATTAAAAGACGGAAAAATCTTGACGATTGTTTCCTTTTCCGTTTTCTCTCACGTGATTGTTTCAGTTTAGTTCAGTTTTGCACAAAACAGGTGATCACGGCCAATCGAGCGTCTACATTTCCTTCGACAGTGAGCCCAAATGTTGGATCCTTCCATTAAGAGGGTCCTATATTGGAGGTTCTTCACGGGTTCTGCTCGTCCCAGTCGTCTCCGCTACTGCAAGGGAAGAGAAGGGAAAAGATTTCGCTTGTTCAGGCGAGAAACATGGCCTTTTTAAGCATGCCCCTGGTAGAGATTGTTATAAAATGGAAGAACCTATCAGTGCTTCCAGACCTACGCCTATATTTCAGAAAATAAGTTTAGTCGGTCCTTATTCAGTTCCCTCTTGAACGTTTTTACGCTCCTTATTTTCACCAACTCAGTGCCATCAACAAATAAAGGAGAAAAGATCAAATCAGTTCCGATTAGATTAATGTATTACCTCAAGAAATTAACATAATAGTATGTTCAAATGCAACGTATGCTGCAAAAGTTATAGACGATGTCTATTTCATAATATACATAAATCAATAAATCATAAATAAATGACTTATCAAATATGAAGAATTATGATGATAATTACAATGGACGTTGGACTCCTACGTCCTTGAATAGGGCTGTTATCGTTGGACTTTGAAGTTGACTGTCTTGTCCTCTAAACCCATCGCTGAATTATGGTATTTATGGCAGTGAGATCCGTGATGTTGAGTTCTCTTTTCTTTATGGGCTGTAATTTTTGATAATTAGTGTGAGCATATTTATCGTGTATGAGGTGTCTGAAAATTGTAGAACTCAGGGCTTTTTGCCTCGAGTACCCCTACAAGTGATTCTCAAACATAAACCTGAACATGCGCCAAATGCATTCCCCGACACTATCACCCCCACTTTAAGTAAATAATGCTCCTAAAATGAGCAAACGACACAGAGACATTACAAATCATATCGATGAAGTGTGTTTCATTGTTCAATTTCTCATAAAACCGGTTAAAATTAGACATGTTTTTCATGTATCCTGCAATGGAGTATGAAGACGTCATCTCGGTCTTGAAGAAATTCGACGGTTTTACGACTCAGCGTCGCAATCTCATTTTGACACTTCAAAGACCGTATGCGATGTGGAAGATTCACCTAGTAACACGCTGTTATGAAAATCATTTGGCCAGATAGTGAAAGGTTCCTCATATTTTATGTTTCAGAAAAATGAGTTTTCTCATCTGATACACACCGTATAAGGTGCACACCGAGAGTTGCAGGCTCACATGCACCGGTGCACGCATAACCCCCAAAAGCACAAGTATCCCACTGATTGTACCAATGAACGTTTCCTGGTGTCCCCGCTCACGCGACTGCCAAGCAATCACTGTAAATGACAGAAAGAGAGAGAGAACAGAAGAGCTTTAAAATCTAGGTAAGAATCAGATCAGAAATATTTGACCGGAAAATGCTTCAGTTCATCGCCCAACAATTTGTTTCAAGTTCTCCTTTGGAGAAAATGTAAACTTCAGTCGCATACTGCCACGTGCACATAGATCTTGTTGTGCCATGATGCTTTGCTTGTAGATAAGCATTGCTGTGTTGTTTTATTCAAAAGAGATATGCAGATGTTTATCACAGACTCACTAATTAGCGACACGATATCAACGGAGAGGGTGGTAATTTTCATTCGAAAGCACCTTTCTTTCCAAATAGTCGATTACACTTCAGAAAATTCATTGTCTATTGATGGAACCCCAATCTGAGCTAGTATCAAAGAGAGTATACGGAATAAAACAAAATGATTTATTGATCATGTTCTGAGAACACGAATCGGTCGATGCGTACATCAGGTGGGCTGAGTTTTGCTCCTCAATTGGTTTGAAGGAAAATCTAGGCAACTGACACCGTGGGTGTGCTAAATATGATGAATGTTGTCTGCCAAACAGATGCATCAACGTAACTCACTCTTGTTCATTTGTCATGTACGAGGATTAGATGGAGATTAACGAGTCTTTGTTGAGTAGTATTCTATTCCAGTTAACTTCATTGACCAACGACGAAATTTTGTTCTGTGAAAAAGAAAACATGACGACCTATACATCGGTCAAATTGATCGTATGCTTTTGTTCTTTGTGCACTGATTGTGAAAAAGCTTCAAAAATAGAAAAATTTTGTTTTTGATAACTTTTCCAATGACGTTTAACGGTTTCAGTTTTCGCAACCATTAAACATGCACTTTCGAGTGCCGATTTTGGATGCTGGTCTTTGGCGGCCCATTTGGATAAAGGAGCAGTATATATATATATATATGCCACCGGCTTGAAGACAAGCATGGTGCCAACGCAACAACAATAATAACAATAACAATAAAACGGGATAGGTGGATTGGGGTATAGAAAATTCAGGAGGAAGATAGAGAATTCATATGGACTGGGGTTGCAAAAATAATGAGTAGATGCATGAGCGCCACTGTTTGCGACACTCATACAACACTCAGTCATATCACCCAGTGTCTCAAAACACCGATTACCATGATCCCAGGGTTCCAATCCATGAAGCCTAACTGGACCAATGTCACATAGTGTCTTGGTTAGGGTCTTCTTATCGTCATTCCAGGTCTTGATTAATTTGACCACCCTTGACCTTCTTCTATCCGCTACCTGCCTTGGCAGACATTGCTTACTTCGGCTATTAGTATAAAGGGATTGTAACATTGAAATAAAATTCTCGAGCACACTCTTGAGAGAGAGGCAGCGTCAGACTATGCATCAGTCGATTAAACTAATTCCTCTGTGGTCAACTTACGAGGATCTGTCGCCTTTCTTGTAAATCGTTATGATGGCCGATTCATACCATTCAGTTGGAACCAAAAGGAGAACGACTGATATCAGGAAACCTCATCGACGGTTGTATCGGTGTGATCTGTAGGCCAGAGAGAGAGATCAACGTACTGGTGAGTTGGCGTGCAGAAAGTGAAAGTTAACTTGCCGTGACCAGCAAGCTGGTCTTGGTCCGGTAAAACAACAAGGTTCGAATATGGGAAAGGAGAGGGTTGATGCTGTCACCACAAATATGTTTGAACTATATCTCTATCTTTATTAGCCTGAGGAAGAAGTTATCGAAAACCAGCTTTGTTCGCTATTGTGTTCTCTCAAACCTCCCACAGTTTTGTAACTCAAAACAGCCCATCACCTAGAGAGTCACCATGTGACATTTCTATCCCGTTGGATATTGTTTGTATACATTATACCAGTTTATACTATATGTGAAATTGTCCCATTCCACATTGCGTTCCAGTTGCATACGTTTCGCATACACACCGGTGCAATGAATATTAACAATGACAACAGGGATAATAACAAACCTCTCCCACTGATTTGACATACAAAAAACCACTTTCCACGGACGGGGATGCGAGCAATCAAACACTTCAGGGAAAATCTATAAAGTCAGCCTAGTGAGATCAGTAGTCGCTTAAGTAACACCACAGGACATCAATAATGTAATTTGAATGCAAGAAAACTAAAACACTGGCGATCAACTGATCCACCTTTCTAGAGCGTTCTACGGATTTTGGGATTGAAAACCTCACAAGCGGCTTACTCATAATTTTTCAGTTTGTCTGAGACCAATACATACAACAGATGGCTCGTTTTTGGTTTTCGCGGAGTTTAGCAAAGCGCTACTGCTCGTATTGAGCTCTTCATTATTTCTCTTATTGAAAGAACAGATTTATCCCAAGTAGACTCAGATTTCCTGCTCACAACTATTGAAGTGCTCAGTTGCATGAGAGATACGATCATCTGAACTTCACTAATTCCTGATGCTCGAGCGCTATCGTGTTGACATGTGCCAAGCTGCTCGTGGCAATCCCGGATAACCCGAGCGACGAGGGCGTTGAGCTAACATCAAGTCGAGGGAATATGCACTGCGCATTACTTCCACAATCCTTCCATTCTTAGTGACATTTCGACCTTGACCTCGTAATCCAACAAGCACTCTTCCAAGATGAGCTAGGAAGAAGATAAACTGAAAGCACATAGGTGACTTGAAAGCTACCTCTGTAGGAGGTGCAGGATGTTTGAACCTAGAAGGGGTAATAATCCACTGGGACAGTGGAGGAAATCAAAGTGACATCACGAAACTCTTTATAACGGGAGTAGGGAAAATTCGATTTCATTAAATAATGAGTTTTGTCTAGGCTGTTTCAACCTTGTTGCGTTTCATCAAATGAGAACTTAATGGTATGAACGCAAGCATACTACCCAATGGTCATCAGGCGTATTGTTTCAGTTTGTCTGTGCTCGTCACAGCATATTCCATTTTTGCGAGCTTGTTGCTGTCATCCCACCTCTCTCATCCTCATACTAACCGTCAGGATTACCACTTGGAGGGAGACATTTGGGTTCGTTTAACAATGAAAACCGTGATTGAAAAGTTAGTTAGTTCTCAGTGAAGTAGAGCAAACGCGCATCTCGGCAAGGACACATTGATGACATGAATTATTGATGCTGCACCCCCAAAGAACAAACTAACTGTTTCGTGCTCCTTGTTGGCCCTCGCACACACACACACAAATGCACGCAGGTAGTAGTCAAGGGATCAAGGCCCCAACTTATCGCCCCGGAGGACGTGTGCTCGAATCGCCACCCAACTTTTACCTTCTGTGCGTGTCCCCAGATAGCATCTAAAATGGCTTCCTGAAAGTGGTATACACGTTTATTCAATCCAGAGAAGTGAAAAGATTTAAAGAGATCAAATATGGGAAGTACATTAATTTTTGGCGAGTGAGAGTAAGACCTGAATTACAATACCTAGACCCGATGTATGCGAAATAGCATGGAATTAAAACAAGAACAAGATAAACCTTACGGGGAAAACTGTCAACGAAAGAGAGTGTTCATGCATTCTATTGAAAGGAATCACTTTTCATTTGTTCTTCCATGTCCTTTTTGTTTAGTTATATGGGATTTTGCCCTCAACTGAACTATCAATGCGGGCATTCGTACGGCAAAACTACCGCTGACCTTGCCGCGGTAAGTCCTAATAATGATAGCTATAATCTTATTTGGCACTTTTTTAATGTATAGAACCTGACGTACTACAATGGCCCACAAACACAGGTAGGCTGCAGGCAACCGATTCTAATCTGTAATTGTTTGCAGAAACCCCATCACCTACATCCGACTGTAAGCAACGATAAGAATGCCTCCGTTAGATCCGTGTTTCGTGATGAAGTACCCGGACAAATGTTACCCAAACCTACTGGTGATAATAAATATATTGCTGGCATGATTCCTGGATATTCCGGTAAATGTGTTTCCCTATTCTCTCTCTTCCTATGTGGGTGTACTATCTAGGCCCTTTTGCATGACCAGTTCACAATTGTTTGTATTGCTCCAATCCACAGGTGATGTGCCGCACATGACATTCAAATTCGGAGCCACTTATCGTCAGACCACGGACGAATGCGTGGACGAGTTTGTGCGCGAATACAATTGTCAGGAGAAAAAACGGGAAGAACTGAAAGAAATTTCCGGCCTATTTCCCACACTTCGTGCAGTGGCCAACGATCCTCGGGTGCGTAATCACATGAATATTTGGTCGGATGAATTGCAAAAGAACAGTGTCAAAGTGACCCCGATCCGCGGTCCGACCGATCCACCGATTCCCGGTTACCAGGGTTTTATTCCCCGTCTAAATACAACCGAGACCGGATTGTCCAAACGGTATCATGAGGGTACCAAACAAAGTTTGGAAGCATTCCGAGCCGAGAGTCAAGGACACTTTGAACGTCTAGCACAACCGATTACAAGTATCAACACGTAAGCGGTGCACTATTCGAAATCTATTGAGTGATGCTTTCAAATACGTTACACTTGACTAAAATTTCTATTTCCACTGGATCAAACAGCATTCAGTCATCAGTTCGAAAGCTGGGTCCATTTGAGAGCCAATCAGAGAAGTAAAGCTCAGTCTTAGTTAGTGACAGAATCACGGAAGAATGAAAAGTTGTTCGTGTTTTGGTGTATCAAGATCTATCTCATTCCATACCCCAATCATTAGTACCTAGTTTTATACTCTTTTAAATAACAATAGCAAATGAAGTTCTGCCACTTTGCACAATATCACTTTTATGATACTAAACATTTCTTTTATTTAGGAAACAGTTGTAAAATTATCAAGCAACAGAGTGAACGCGTTTCGCATATTTTTTGCATCTTTTCATCTTTTTTGTTCACCTATTGGTAGGTGGTGGGAGGTAGAGAATGCACAGTAATCGTTTAGAACACTGAAGTCACTGAATTCAGTTTGGGGCAACACCCCATAGAGTTTCTGAACAACCAAATTTGTCATCCCTCGGGTTCCCACGGAGCTGTCGGGCAAGATCAATCGAGAGCAATGCCACGATGAACCTTATCATATCCTTTCGTCAACTTATGAACTGATCGCCCCAATGTTTTTTATCTATGGCAAAAAACTACTATGATATGTGCAGGACATGGTTGTTAAGTATGCGTAACACCTGTACGCATGATGGAAGGTAGTCTAATCAGATAAATTGAATTAGAGGACGAGTATTAATTTCTGTCCTAAGCAGGCCGTTGCGTGTCACCCCTGCCTATGTGGCGTTATCAAAAGAAATGAAAATCACCGTGAGGAACAAAAGAAGCAATGCCCTCAAGGTTCTCAGCACGGCGGGAAATCGTTGGCACAGTTCCTATTTGATTATTAAATCGGTAGAACCGAACTGTCTAGATCCAAGGTTAAGTAAATTTGGACATTCTCCACAAATGACCGATCTGCAGTGTGACGAGTCGAAATGATTTTTCTGATAATCTTTTCAATATTTCAACGGATAATTTGATTGAAAGGGGCCGATTAACCCATTTGCTTTCCCATACTGAGCAGGGCAAATCTAATTCTCGGAAGGCCGCAGACAACAGATTTGACTGATCTGTTTGACCAAATAAAATTAAAAAGAAACAACAACAAGAACAGTAGCAGTAATCGGGAATATTCTGATTCCTTCGCATGTGATATGCCAAAAATATAGTTCCGGCACTTCGGACTATCAGCTGATTTAATTGAGACAGGAGGGAAGACGACGGGGTAAGGTTTCACGCAAGCCAATTGTGGTCTGGTGCGTCGATATCTTCTACAACCCTAGTCCGTACTTCTCTATTGGCACTGTGAGACAAATGGTAAGCATACTCGGATCGGGTGTAATATTTTGACTTCTATCGCTCTCAGAGAAGCACACACACCACATAACAGAGGAGGCCTCTGGAAGTTTTGTACAAAACTGGCGAGTTTTATATTGTATAAAACTCAATAAATTGCTCAGCTCTGTCCAATTGTAAGCAGTCAACATTTAATTACACATACGAATGGATACTGCAGTTTTTCATATAGGCAATTAGTTTTACCTGTGTGATACTAGGTACTACAGTTTCATAAGTTGATCGGTCTTATCACATTTTAAGACACTGAGCTAGTGTTTGCGTGGTGGTGACATCACCAAATTATCACCCCGGCGGTGTGTGTTCGCATCCCACCACCACCGCCTGACTTTGCCCCTTATGTGTTGAATGGCGGCCCTTTGATTGGTCGCTTCCCCCTTCCTGAAAATCGTATCATTGTGTATTCCATAAAAAAGGAAAGAAAATGAAACGAAAAAGAAGCGAGAGATATTGGCTTGGACTAAAATTTTGTTACAATCGCTTCTCGGAGTAGCAAATCCTAGTCAAACGGTCAAGTTCGTCAACTTATCGCTTCGGCGGATGTGTATTTGAATTCATGTCACGACCGCTCAACTTTTCCCCGTTTCCTTGTGTTTATTGACCATTTCCCTCTTCCTGAGAATTGTTTCATTATATAGTCAATGAAAGGAGGTGAGAGCAAAGAAAGAGTTGTGTTTGATTTCCATTGATAATTAATTTTTACCGACTGTATAGCCTAGCCATACTTCTAATAGGTACGTGATCATAACTGGAAACAGATTTCCAATTTTATTCGTCTTTTTTGTGCAACAATTATCAGGAGCCCGATGGTGGGTAATAAACCCCCAGAGCTACCCAGCTCAAAGTACGTGTCCTCGCGCATTTTCCGAAGAGAAGGCATGATTCCAGACTACGACGGTCACGTGCATGGTAAGTGTGTGTGTGTGTATGTGCTATTTGAACGAATAATGAAGTGTGACTTAGAATTCACTTTGACTATAACCTTCCGTTTCATCATCGTCACTACATTTGTGTTGTACTGTTTATCTGAGACGTACATTGTAACCAATAAATCTGGGACACTGAAATGGTTTTTCCAAGATCACCTCACTAATGTGTGCGTGTGTTTTGGTCAACCCATAGATGTATACGCTCATCCATGGAACGGTGATAGATAGTGTGTTTGTTCATCAGAGCTCTGTTCAAACTCTGTGGTAAAATAAAATTCTTGATTTTCTTTCGAAGAAAGAGCGTTTCGATGTCCCCAAATTTATGACGGCATTGTACACACAATTAAAATGCATATACATGCAAATCCTGTGTACAGATATGGACTAAAAAGAGCTGTCAACGTTTATGTTGATTGATATGCGCGGTTGATATAGTTAAAGCCATAGTGAGTTCTGAGGGCTTGACGATTGGACGAGTAATTTGTATGCACACAAACACACATATATATCACCAACTTATGAACAAACATGACGTCAACTCCACAGCAACAATAACATTAACAGGGGATGGGGTGATTGGGATACAGAACAGAGTAAAATGAAGGTTAAATAGCTACAATGGATAACAGTAGATAGCAAAAGTAACAAAATTTATTTAGTGTTTCTCCGTACATTTTTGATTTTTTTGTTATCATTGGATTTCGTAAAACAAAACATCACAGAGATGGATGAAAACAAGTCATTATGTCATGCATTACTCACTGTTCTGATCAGCCAACCAAGAGTTTGGATAAGAGCATACGTGGTATCGAGATTCGCCAATGAAAGCGCATTAGTCATGCAGATTGCAAGTGCTACGCACCAATGAAAAACCTGGAAAGCGTTGTGCAGCTGTTTCCTTCAATAAACTTCCACACTTGTAACTCCCGTAATGAGTTATTACCGCGGTATGACTATGTTCGACTCCACTTTCAACTTTCGTTTCTTCTCCTATTCTTCATCTAAATGGGCAGCCAAAAGACAGCAACCAAAACCGGCGCATGATAGTGCATGGTTAATGGTTGTGCAAACTTAACTGAACTGAACTGAGAGGTAAAGCTCTGATAACCAAAGAAGTTTTTGCATCCAAAAAATACCGTTTATTTGGTTTGCGAACTTCCTTGGGTTGTAAAGGTTTACGTAACTCATTCATGGCAAGGATATGTACTATAAAAACACGGTATGTTTCATTTTATCAGTACAATGAATTTTTCTGCTTGTCATTGCGATTTCGAGTGATCTGATCGTGTTACTTTCTCCCCACAGGATTCAAATTTCAAATAGGTCAAAGCTATGGGAACACCACACGTGACCTTGAAGTGTGCGCTCATCCGTTCCCCAGTTACGGGGATTTTGTGCGTGAAAAAGATCTGGCCAGTAAATATATTCGTCGATAATTTACCAACTCCAAAGTTATTGCGTCAAGAAAAACACGGTCATATAACACCGGATTATGACCGCAGAATGTGCTCAATTGCCTTACCACTCACTCTATTATGTTTGTTCATATCCCATGCTCGCCCAAGCATCCAGCTTCAGACTGGATGCGTTCAAACAGCAAACAACCGTTTATTCACAAAGAACAATGACTAGTCAACTATTATTGCTTTCAATCGGATTCCTATGGAGGATCCGAGCCAATTGGTTTGTTTTATTTTCCCTATTTTAATTTCAGCAATACGATAGTCTTCATCATTATTATTGCTGACCTGGGCTCTACCGATATTCCTTTGACCTCTACTTTTTTCGTTCCTTCTGGCCAAACAGATCAGAAAAGATATTTGCCTTCAAAAATTTGTTTTCGCAATTGACATTACTTAAATACCAATCAGATTAGTGGAATATTGGTGATTGCCAATTTGACAGTAATATAACTATTTTAATCAAACATCAGTTCTATTTCTTAATTTCCGCAGTTTTCAAATCAGCTTAAAATGCTCTTTATCAGTTTGGTGAATAATATTGTGCCATTCGCAAAATTCAAAATTTGACTGCTTGCCAGCAGCTGGTTTCGGTTAAACTGAGGTGGATTCCAATATATGGAAAACTTTTATTGGAAATTGAAAGTAAAGCCAATAATGCAAAGCCAGATGTTTTCGCTGATTCACCAAGTGGGCGTAAGTGAAGCGTTCAAAAACATTAATCCTATTCCCATGTCGGGATCTAAATCCTCACGCCATTTCTACCCACCCGCTTTGTATGCATTACCTCTACCATAGCCAGCAGTCAAGCGACGGACTACTTCGAGCATGGTAACTGGAAGAACGCCGTAACCAAGGAAGGTTTAATGAAAATGTTGGCGCATGTAGGATCGCTTTGCAGACAACGTGATAAGATCTACCTAGCACTGGGTCGAACAATATTGAATCCTTTATCTATAGAATTGTAAATGGTCAGCTGATAAATTACCAAAAACAGCATGTTTTGCCTTTTGGATTTTATTCTCACATCTGTCGATTAAGAAAGCAGACAGGTTATCGAACTGACTTCTTCCCGGTGAAAGCTGGCGTGAACGGTATAAGGCGAGAGCTACGCGAAGAACAAAGTCCATGCAATTCTCGAAATAGTCCCACAGAGCACATTTCAAACAAAACAACAGTGGTTTCAAACCTAACGGAAACAAATCACACTGTGGACGTGTCCGAGACTTTCCACTCCCTGTGTAAAGTTCGCGGGCGATTATCGAGGCACGTTCGCTGTCGGATGCTGGCCACAGCAGAAGGGATGGGCATTCGTTTGCGCTCCAGAACAATTTATACAAGCGCTAAGGCTTCCCTGGTCCACCACCCCCGCCCCCCCCCACACACACACACAGACACTCATCGTATCACGAAGCTAGCGGTTTCTGAAATTATATCCACTACAACCCTGACAAGCAAAGCGGGAAGTGAGCAATCATGGTGAATACTATTTTCGTAATGACCTCAGAAAAATGACAAGAAGCATCACCAACTCGGTTTAGACTAGTCATCTGTAGGTAAACTTTCGTCTAGTACATCCCTCTAAAAGAGACGTGGTCGTAGTGTGACGCGGTAGATTGACTAGAAGGTAACTTTCAGCTCAGTGTTTGTATCAAAAGCTGACTGGACACAACGGAACTCAAACTCAATTTGGGAGACCACATGTGTATCCCGTAACCTTAGTGACTAGGACAAACTGAAAGTTCTGTTCCTATCATCCAACTTAGAGGAGTATTCCGATTCTACTGAGTAGCAAGTAAGCCGTCTGCCCAGCAGATTCTTTAGATAAACACACCGGATGGAATGGACGAGTGAGCTGAATGTTTAAACTAAGTTTTTCAAATGTATAGTCGAGAGATATGCACTTGCATTTATAACGAAAAAGCTCAGTAAGCTCAGCGGTTTGTTTTTCACATTAGTTTGGTATGTATGTTGTAATCATTGACAATAATAGACATTTTGGACTCAAAAGAATAAGAGAAAGATTTGATCAAGATATGGAAGAGGTTGTTTCCTATTCAATCCCGGCAAATTTTGTTGTTGTACGGGTAAAAGAGACCTTTCTGATGAAACCCTAATCCCTGTCTATTTCGAAAGTAAGATTCAGTTCATGTACCAAAACCCGTTCGTACGTTTTTCAAACTTGAAAAGGCTCTCACGGGCGCTATTTATCGATCCACCGTTCGGGGTTAATCCAAGCAGGCAATGTAAAACACTACTTCAAAAACTGAGAGGTGCTTAATTTCAGGCGATAGAGGCTGCTCAGAGAATTACAAGAATTGTTTCAATGTCTGAAAGATACCCATCACTGCATTTAGAACAAACAATTTGGGGAAACAATTGTTTTCAGTGATTCTTTCTCAAGTATTTTACAGATTACATAGGTAACATTAGAAAACAGATCATACGATTAGACACAACACCAATCATGAGTAAGAGTTTGTCATGGTCGACTTGCTTTTATCATTTTATTTGTTTAAGTAGGTTGCGGTCTCAGGGTGACTTTATGGTGGAAACAATCCGGCCTGTCTCATCACGGGCCATGGAAGTTGGGGTGACTGAATCAGACGCTTTTGAGCGCAGATGTCAGGGGTCAACTTTCTAATCCCGATCACTTCGGCTGTTGCTAGAGTATGTAAATGAACACCCTTGCACTTCGTGTGAGGGTTACGATTTGATGTTCGTTGGTGACTAAGTGGGTTAGGATGGAGTTGTTTATTGATCCAGTCTGGCCTAGTCTTAATCAGCGCGGGTGATGCTCCGTGATTCGGGTAGATAGTTATCTTATGTTGGCCGAACGGTTGGGCCCGTGATCAAACAGGCCCGAGTGTATCCGCCGTCCATTCACCCTGAGACCGCAACCTACTTAAACAAATAAAATGATAAAAGCAAGTTGACTATGACAAACTCTTACCCATGATTGGTGTTGTGTCTAACCGTGTGATCTGTTTTCTAATGTTCCCTATGTAATCTGTAAAATACTTGAGAAAGAATCATTGAAAAAATTGTTTTCCCAAATTATTTTTTTCTGAATTTTAAGGATTGCTGTTCTGTTGCGAACCCTAGGCTCTCCTCCCTCTTCTCCATTCAGAGTGGATGGATTCTTCTTGATCAAGCTTTTTCAGTGGAAATTAATTGATCGTTTCCTACCACCCTCTTCTCCGGGAGAGTTAAACAACCATCATTTATGGTTAAGTGTTTTTCAGAATTTCATGTGCAACTCGTATGGCTTTCATGGTCGATTTTCGGTCGACCTCTCAATGTTCCACAAAAATTAAGTTAATCGCAGTCATGCTGAGATACGACATGATTAAGAGTAGTACAACAAAAAAATCACATTTAGTGATCAAATAATGTTCTTATTCTCTGCCGTACTATAACAACGTTGGGCGGTGGTGGCCAAGTGATTAGGTCACCAGCTTGTGATCTGGGAGTCCCCGGTTGCGTTTGCGCTTCTTGATTAGCGTCTATTTCGGTCACTTTTGATAGCTACATTGAAAACTCATAAAAACAACAGCACTATCACGAGGTTTTAGGTGGAACCTAATTATCACAGACTCGTGAAATCAAAACTGCACCACTGCAGCCAGATTTATCTAAGAAAGTGGGGTTACATTCTTCAGTCAATCGATATGATTGGGTCGAGAATTTTGGCTTGAACTTTCATCACTCGACCGCCCAGTTTAAGCTTGTTTATTGATTTGTTGATTGTTCGATCAATCCATCGACTGCAGCGAGACTGCTGATTGCAACGAACGCGGTAGTGCGCACTGATACGAGTGGGTCAAAATACACATGGGCTGTATAAGGGAAACGACGTCTTCTGATCTTTCGTATATACACGGGGAGAATAGAAAATGTCTCCCTTCTTCAAGTGAACCATGCTACATCAACAATATCTAACCTGTTCTCATCAAAGCGGTTCAAAAGAGTTGCGTGATACGAAAATAACAACAAAGAGAGTGAATTCAAGTAAATACGAACTTTTTATGACCAAGACAAGAAGCACCTTCTCCATCAGTGCAATGGATTTTATGGATCAAGATTTTACATTCTCTTTCTACAATGAGAACACCACAAGAGGCATTCTTTATACAGTGATAACACTCGACACGGTCAATCAGAAAATACTAATACATTTAATCGCTAATTTAGCCTGAAATAGGATTTGACAGATACATATCAAGACGGTGGTCTATCACCACTATAACAGCCGGAAAATTTACCGTTCTTAAACCACAACTTCGATCATATTTAGCCACAAATCATTAACGTAAGGGTCGATTTCTGTGTATGAGGCTCTATCTTTTCATAGAGAACTTTTAATCCTTTAGTACAAACTAACTGGGACAGCCAAGTAATGTATACACAGACTGAGCTTGAATATAACTTATTTATAGCATAACCAAACATTTTTACGTCTTTTTAAAAAGCTCTAAGCGTATCTATCATTTCCCAGTCAGTCTTTAAATACAAAATGATCCGTTCGCGATATCAGAATATTGCTGTAAGTAGATGACAAGAATCAGTTGTGTTGCAGTGGTATGATAGCTCGATTCAGAGTCATTCATTGTCCTTTTGCTTTCAGTTTTTCAGTCCACTACCAATTAGTTCGTGTAAAAATGCTCCCCCTAAAGTCACACTACTGATATGTTAAATCACTCCAGATGATTGAAATGCTTGAACTATGAATGAGCGCGTTAGTGCAAGTATATCTCGGTATCTCGAAGAGTTCCTTTTGACAATTCTTTCATCGTTAAGCTTTTTTCAGATAGCAAAAGTGACTGCATACCATCCGAAGCGAATGCGAAATTCTCGTTATATTTGAGTAACACCGATGGTAAATTGTGAGCGTTTCATCGGTTGGAACACCGGAGGAATGAGGAACAAAAAAGTCGATGGTTGAAGATTTGTTTCGGTGTCCTCTCATTGTACAC